CCCAAGATAGCTAGCCAATGTATTTGTCATAAAGAAGAAGAACGGGAAGTGGAGAATATGTGTAGACTACATGGTTCTTAACAAAGCTTGTCCTAAGGATCCTTTCCCTCTACTACACATTGGCTCCATGATAGATGCAACGACTGGCCACAAACTATTAACCTTCATGGATGCTTCAGCAGCATTCCAAAAATCCAAATGGAACCATCCGATCAAGAAGATACATCATTTATAACACCAAAAGGTATATATTGTTACACCATAGTGCCTTTTGGTCTCAAATATGCAGGTGCAACATATCAAAGACTGGTGAACCGGATGTTTAAAGACAAGTTGGGGGACACCATGGAGGTGAAGTCTATGAAATCCGAAGATCATCTTAGGGATCTCAAAGTATCCTTCGACATTCTAGACGAATACAACATGAAGTTGAATCCATTTAAATGTCACTTTGGGATGAAGCTGGGCAAGTTCTTGGGTATATGGTAACCAAAAGAGGAATAAAAGTATTCCTAGAGCAGATCAAAGAAATCATCAAGCTGAAATCTACATATTCAACAAAAGACATCCAAAGGCTAACTGGAAGTGTAGCAGCACTTAATCGATTCATTTCAAGATCCTTAGAAGGGTGTGAACCCTTCTATGATATCTTGAAGAAGAACAAGAAGTTTGAATGGACTGAAGAACATGAAGAAGCTTTTCAGGAACTCAGAAGATACTTAAGTTCCGTGCCACTACTGCTGAAACCTATAGATGGAGAACCACTTCTCCACTACCTCTCAGTATCCTCAAATACAGTAAGTGTTGTCCTAGACAAGGATATCAATGAAGACCAACATCATATCTACTATGTAAGTAAAAGTCTTCTTGATCCTGAGACCAGGTATTCTCATCTCGAAAAATTAAATCTTGCATTAGTTACTGCTTCTACTAAGTTAAGACATTATTTCAAGAAACATACTACACATTAGAAAACTATCTATCCTATTAAGAATGTGATGAGAAAAACAGAGATGTCAGGAAGGATGGCAAAATGGTTAGTGAAGTTAAGAACGTTTGACAGAAAATATGAGCCAAGATCCACCATAAAGTGACAAGCATTTGCAGACTTTGTGGCTGAATTTAGTGATGATCTACAAAACAAAGTAGACATTGAAGCCAAACAACTCCTAAAAGATGAACATTTGGAAAAATGGATGCAATTCACTGATAGAGCTTCAAACCAAAAAGGAACCGGGCTAGGGATCATACTAAAACCACCACATGGGGGCACATCCTACCCAAGGCAGTTAGTTGCAAATTCGACACAACCAACAATGAAGTGGAAATGAAGCACTCATCATGGGACTACAATTGGCTAAGGATCGTCAAATCAAGGATCTTCATGTATTTGTTGATTCTTTATTATTAACGAATCACTTAAATGGATCTTATGTAGTGAAATGTTAAAGATTAGCACTATACCTAGAGATCCTCAAAAAATTAGACTCTGATTTTGAAAACTTTAGCCTAACCTCAGTTCTTAGAGAAGAAAATACAGAAGCAAACACATTATATAACTTAAGATCCCCCCCTAAGGTTCCAACCAGAAATGAAGATCCCTATAACCCACATAATAACTCCATCTATAGAAGCCCTTTTTGACAAACTAGATCATCCTAAACAACCAAAGAGTGTAGCATCCAGCAGAGATTGTGACCTTCAGATCCATCCTCAAAGGGATCCCGACAAAATGGATTCTCGAAGAAGCTCAGGATCATATATGCAACCCATTACTAAGCATCTGCAAAATAGCAGAATCCCAACAGAGGAAAAAAGTGAAAGAGCATTCAGAATAAGAGTCTCAAGATTCTTAATAATCCAAAGTAAACTCTATAAAAGGTCTATGGCTGGTCTATACCTCAGATGCTTGGAAGATCATGAAGCTATAGAAGTCTTCAAGGAAATACATGGAGGAGACCATGGCAATCATACTGGGGGCAAATCCTTATGATCCAAGGTATTGAGAACATGATACTATTGGCCAACCATGAAGAGAGATTATTTTCTACAGGATCAAAACCTACATCAACCGGCAGAACGTATACATCCTATCATCTCTCCATGGCCATTCATGAAATGGGGAATGGGTATAGTAGGAAGCCAATATCTTTGGGAGGAAAAGTCTTGATGTTGGTGATGACTACTTAGTTCTCAAAGTGGATCGTAGCTGAAGCCTTTGTTCAGGTTAGAGACAAAGAGGTAGTCTCATTTATTAAACGTAATATTTTGACCAGGTTTAAGATCCCTACTGAAATCATATGCGACAATGGGTTCCGATCACTACTAGAAAACAACCCTTTAATGACGTGCAAACAGTGACACGCGGTGATTTACCATACGCAAAAGCGTGTGCCCTAAAAATAATGTCATCTCTTCTAAAATTTGAAGGATAGAGGACACGCATTTTTTTGTGCCCTAAAATTAATTTCCAACAAAAAAAACACGGAGGGCACTTATTTAAAAATGTGCATCGTCTAGAAATGTCGCTTTATATTTTTTTTAATGAAAGGCGCGTACTTTTCTTTTGCAGTGGGGGGAAATGAAAATCCCAAAATTTTGAAAGCCCGCCATTGTTATCCTCTACCTTATTTTCATCTTTCTTTTCTCTCTCTCTCTCTCTCTCTCTCTCTCACACACACACACTCTCTCTCGTTACCTATATGTTCAAGAAAACAATTTTGGTCCACGTCGATGAGGTTTTTCTCGTCCAATAGAAAGACTGGTGGCGGCCATTTTTTAACTTATACGACCACACCTTCTCTCGTAGTCATCTCAATCGATATGAACAAGACTTCCAAGAGGTTCCCCAAAACTACTTACCACATCCTGCTTGCTTTGAAGAGCCATGAAATGTGCCTTGTAGCCTCTACTTCCTTTTGGCGAGTCACCCTCTATCAAAAGCTCCAACCGCAGCCGCCGCCACAAGAGACTTGAAAGTGCGTTTTGCTTCCAGCCTTGCCACCAGCTACTTGGTCCGACCATCTTCTAGACTTCACTTCCGTTCTAGGGTTTTGTTTCTCTCTTTCTCTTGAACACCGTATGATTCATCTTTATTATCTTTTCTTTTTAAAGTATTTGAATGAACGAAGATTATATATTCCACTTCATTTGATTCTTGCCTCTTTTCAACAAAAATTAAAGTTTCAATTTGGAATCCAGTTCCTGAGGTATGATTACATATTGGTCGTATTTCGTATTAAACTCTCAAATTTTCAACCCTTTTCACTTTAATCCATCTTCTAGCATTATTCTCTTCATGTGAATATATGTTGAAGCCCTATGTTTATTCTCTTCTCTTCATCATGTCTGGAATCGATCCAGATAAAGGGCTAGAACCCTAATTTCATTTCTTACTCTGTATTTTGGAAGTTTTTTTAATCAGATATGTTAGTTCGTCCCTTCTCTTCCAAATATGACTTTAGTGTGTGTCTTTGTTATGTGATTTTGGTAAAAGTTTCTCATTTTATGTAGCTACTTATCTTATTAAACTATAGCCCTATTTCTAAATAATATTTGTTTGTTTTTTGGAAGCAGTTATCATGTTAGCTAATTTGAGATTAGGATTCTTCTTAAGAGATGATAAACAAGAGAAAACCTTGAATTTAAGGTTCAAGGGAGGAGCCCTAGGAAACAAGAGAAAAGAAGTCTGATGTGTCATTTGGGGGGAAGGCGGTGTAACCTACATCAATCGATGATTAATTTAACCCGATTTGGACTACTATTTTTTAACTCATACGGTGCTCATAACATCTCTATTGATCAGGGTAAGCTAACATCTCTGGTTACCCTTTGGATATATTTTTTTTTGTTAAAATGAAGGGATTAACAGTGAGGATCATATGATTTGGAAAATATGTTTGTTTGTCGTATATGTGTTACCATTTATCTTTAGTTTTCTCTAACTACTATCATTGGGCTAATAGAAGGAAACCATATATGAAAATATATATGAAAAAATACACCTTTTCTGATGCAGGAAATAGAAGAACTTTTACTGAAGAAATGATTGTTGAGATACGGGGATATAATAGAGACTCATGCTCAAAATAGATTTCGGATCATTCTTGGGTTGGAAATATTACATGGCTTAGAAATGGTGATATTAAAGTTTCTTGGGCTGATAAAATGGTTTCAATGGTATGTTGAATCATATTTATTATAAAAAGACATGAATGCCCTTCTTGTTTGAAGTAGTTTTTTGTTTATTGATATGATGTTTGGTGATATTAGGTGGGCCCACAAGCAACATATGTAGTAGGGCATGATGATGATGATGACTCAGCTAGCAAGTTAGGAAATAATGGAGGGTGAAGATAATGAAATGGAAAATCTTCAAAAGGCACTAGAGGTTCATTTCTATTTATAAAAATTATAATAAACAAATAAACGGGTTTAAATTTTAACTGTTTTTTTTGTTAAGGATTTTCGGATGCAAAATGGACCAGAGATGAGTGTTGATACAATTGAACAAACAACTGGAAGCATTTAGACAAATGGTGCACTTTCTATACCCTTAGCTGCCCTTGGATTCATGACAAGGTTAGCAAGTGGAATTTTTTCTAAGGGTCAAAGAAACATTACAGGTAATTCAGGGGTGATAATGTAACACTACATAAGGAAGATAAAAATGATAATACCCTTATAAGATTAGTTTCTGGATAATTTATAAAAAATAATCTTTTTTTTTTTTCATTTTTTCGTCCCTATTTTCCTGTTTCTTAACATTTTTCATCTAGAAAAATATATATGGTTCTAAGAGTTTTCAAATTCTTGCAACTCCCTAGATCGTTTTTATTTATGAAAAATGTATGTTTAATTTGATTTATATGTTTATCATTCTGTTAGTAAGGTAACAAACAAGTCTTTATTTATCTATATCTTCTATAAATGTAGTTTTAGGTATGGTACCCTTGTGAGTGGCGACAATAGTGGCATTGTTCAGTTTTGGGATAGTTCACATGGTACTCTGTTGCAAGCACTTTCTTGCCATGAATGCTTTGGCAGCTAGTTCTACCCATAGCAAGGTGTTCTCAGTCAGTCAGGTACTGAATACTATTTTAAGTTTCAGTTTGTTGGACTTGGATTAGATGTTGTAGTATCATATGATGATTTTTGTTTCAGGTTATATTATTTAATTAAGGTATTTGGTGACAAATCTTGTTCTCCCTGCGCTTAGTGCTCTTAGAGGATTTCAACTTGTGAAAGATAGAGAAACTGGAAACTCAAAAGGATACACATTCTGTGTTTATCAGGACTTATCTATTACAGACATTGCTTGTCCAACTCTTAATGGGATCAAAATGGGTGACAAGACACTTATTGTTAAACGCGCTAACCAATGTCAAACTCAACCCAGGCCTGAATAGGAGAGCGTGCTTTTACATGAACAACAACAAATTGCATTGCAGGTATTAAAAAAATTCCATTCTTTAAAAATCTCATTTTTAATATTATAATTAGATAATATTTTTGTTTGCAGAGGATGATGTTGCAACCACCTCCCTCCATTGCGACAACTGCGACTAAAGTTCTATGTTTAACACAAGTGGTGACTGAAGATGAACTTAAAGATGATGAAGATTATCAAGATATATTGGAAGACATGAAAATAGAATGTGGAAAATTCGTTAAATTAATCTTATTTTAACTTTCATTTTCTCTCTTTATAATTCTAATTCCGTATTTTACTTCCTACTTTGCCAAATCGTTTATATATCAATCTATTAATTTTTATCGTTTTCATATCTTTCTGTTTTACAGCCTTTTGTAATCACACTCCTATAAAGCATCCAGACAGAAGCCCCTTCTTTTTACCCCACCTGTTTATATCCATATCCAATATTTACACCAAATAAATTTTTTTAATCTCAGTTTTTTCACTAATTTTTCAGGTAGTCTAGTGAATGTTGTAATTCCACGCCGTAACCCTACTGGAGAACCAGCACTAGGTGTTGGCAAGGTTAGTTTAGTCTTTTCTCATCTCTTAAGTCTTGTTTGTTTTTCTTTCATTGCATTTTTTCAACAAACTGTTTTCACAATATTCATTAATTTTAACGAATGAAAGTATGTTGCTGTTTTTTTGCACATTGTGTAGGTCTTTTTGGAGTATGCTGATGTGGAATTAGATTCCCTGTCACCCTGGGCTACGTGGAGCAATTGTACCTGGTACAAGATTGACTATAATGGGAATTTACAGCATATTTCAAGCTTCAAAGACATCCAAATCGTAATACTTTCACTCTATCTATTCACAAATAACATTTAACTTTCATACATTTTGAATATAGCTAAATCTGGCAATCTTTTCTCTGTTTTGATCTAGTCACAAAGGAGCAGTTGCTATTAGACAACCGTATATAAGAGTTATTAGAACACCTATATAAATAATTTGCACCTTAGATATATGTATATATACTTTGTATTGAGATTTAAGAGCAATTTTCAATTTGCAGGTATGCTATATGTGGGCATTTAACACTGAAAAAGATAGTAGCTACAAGACCATCTACTAAAGCAAGGTTGGTGTAAGAGTTGATGACGAGAACATTGTTCCAAGACCTTCAGTAAGTTATGATGATGTCCCTTAATAGCAATGTAGTATTAGGTTATATAGTTAAGGATGCTTATTTCTATTTGACATGTTAGTGCAATGAATTATCTTTCTTATTTATTATATTGCTCTTTGTATTTTGTATGACCTTAACTTTTGTGCAATGGATTGTATTTTTTCTAAATGGTATTTTATTTTCTATGATGAGACATGAAATGCAAATTTAATTTGAAAATTAGTAAATCTGTAAATAATTTTTTTAAAAATAAAAATAAAAATTACGATACGCAAAAATACGTGTCATCTTCATTTATGACATGGCCTTTCTTGACATCGACTTTAATGATACGCATTGCGTGTCATAAATGTGCGTCGTCTCAAGACGACGCGCAAAAGAGCGTCGTCTCTCGTTATGACATGGCCTTCCTTGACGCGCATTTGCGCGTCGTCTGAGCATTTTACGACGCGCAATGAGCGTCGTAAAAGGATTTTTTTTTTCTAGTAATGGATTCATAAGCAAGAGGACAAGAGGCTTTTTCATGAGTTGGGGAATCAAAATGATAATGTCCACCCCTGTTCATCCCCAAGCTAATGGGCAAGCAGAGTCTTGAAAAAAGATCACAGTGAATAAATTAAAGAAAATGCTAGATGAAACTAAAGGAAGATGGGCAGAAGATCTTCCTTTTGTCCAATGGGCAGATAGAACTACTTCCAAACTAGTTATCCTTTCATCTTATGGTAAGATAGAACTACCTCTAAAGTAGCTACAGGTCAGACCCCATACTCCTTGGTGTTTGGGACGAAAGCATGATCCCTCCCGAAGTAGTGATCCCGACAACAACATACATGCTCCATAATCAAGAAAACAATGACAGGATCCAAGGCCAGGATATTGACACTATTGATGAACTCAGAGATCTTGCCAACATACGCATTGCTGCTCGTCAACAATTGATCGCCAAGTCTTACAAAAAGAACATAAAATTCAGAAGATTCCCAATATGAGACTTTGTATTAAGGAAAACATTACAAAACACCAAGGATCCTAGTGCAAGTAAATTAGCTCCTAAGTAGGAAGGGCCATATCTCACAGAGGCTGAAGCAGGAAAAAGAGCATAATGGCTAGCAACACTCGAAGTAGACATTTTACCAAGATCCTAGAATGCTATACACGTTATAACAAACTATATGTAAACAAGATCGATTGATCTTCAACAAAACCAAGGTGCACATGTTCTTTACCTTAAAATTTTCATCATTTCTTATTTTCTCCTTAAATACATTACTAACTTAAGCATCAGAGGGGTGTTAGCTAGACTAACACCCACCCCTAGCTAGCGTTTTCTAAGTAGAACAACTAAGTATCTCCATAAGCAATGACCTTAAAATATAAGGATCGTCAAGGTTGAAGATCCTGAAACGTAAGTATCTTGACACACGAAGATCTCAACATCTTAAAACTTGGATAATTCTATTTTATTAATGGTATGATCTTTAAACTATCATATACACAAGCTAGAGACTAATAATCTCCCCTACGCTTAAGGTTACTTAATCCCCTCTAAGGTTTAAAGTGCTAATTACCTCTTTCACATGAATTAAGGTTTATACACCTTGCTTAAACGTACGATATCTAACTATGGGAAACGAATAAGGGGATCATTTCACGATGCAGTGGCTTGGTAACCATCTATCTTTGAACATAACTTAAGATCCATAAGGTTTATAACATTTTCATGTTATCTAAAATTGGGATCTTATCCTAGAAATTACATAAGGTTTATAAAATTTTCATGTTATCTAAAATTAGGATCTTACCCTTGAAGTTACATAAGATTTGTAACATCTTCATGTTATCACACATTGGAAAATTTTCCCCATTAAACACACATGAATCAGATAATTTTCATGGGATCTTTCCCATGAAATATGTCATAATTTGGGATACTCCCCAGTACATCACATTAACATGTTGAACTTATGATGTTACCCAGGAATTTTGTCAAGGTTTATAACCTAAACAAGTTATCCTAAGAAGGGAATTCCCATGTATGATTTAATCCTCTAGGATCCTCATCATCAAGGATCCTCATCGATAATAATCCTCATCTCTAGGGGTCCTCATCATTACGGATTCTCGTCGATATGGAACCTCATCAGTAAGGACCTTATCATCAGAAGTCAACAGTGATCCTAGGTCCTTTCCTAAGTTGAGATTTATCCTCAGTAAGTTCTAAGATTGGAAAGATTTTGAAGCTTAAGAAAAAACTTGAAGGCAATCAGGTTCCATTTATCCTTATTCTTAATTAACTCTAAGTACAATTTAAGGATCTTGACATTTCTAGGATCCTAAGCAAAAATCATTTTGTTAATAGAATTCAAGTATACTAAAAAGGATTCACTAAAAGAATTTTGTCTCTTGATTGTTTGTAGGAACCATGTTTTCCGGGATCCTGATTGTTTAAGGATCCTATTATCGTAACGGTCACACAAAGAAATCCAGATATAGATATAAAGAGAAAACAAAACCATTGCATTAAAAAGGGGTTACAGACCAACCCAGCCAAAAGATTAATTGCTTTACATCACTGATAAAAACAAAAAATACCTAAACTAACTTCTTGCAGGCCTAAACCTCTGCCTGGTTATCATTGGCCACATACTTCTTCTCCCCACTTCAGTTAGCCGCAGTACAAGATCCTGATTGGCGGTAGCTAGCTTGCCAATTAATTTGGCTCGTGCCTCGTGCCAACTGTCCACAATCCAAGAACCTACATTCTCTAGATCCTCTGCAATATAGATCTTGGCCTCTCAAATAGCCACCGCAACATTGACCTTCGCATCCGAGATCACTTCCTCCATCTCGAGCAAGTGCTCCTCCTCCTTCACATCCTTCTCCTTGCTGAGCAGCTCCACCCTCCTCAATATATCCTTGTTGGTCGCTTTCCATATCCTCTGTTGTCCCTGAAGGGCTTGTTCATACCTCTCCACTTAGATCCTTAGATCGGCGGAAACATGATCAGAGACCTATAACAAAGATATAATGGCTCAACAAAAAGTAGAATAATAAAAAAAGAATAAAACCAACACTTACAGCTTGGAATGTTGAAATAAAAATCTTTAAGATCGAATAGATCTTTGAAACAGGTATATAAAGAATGTAAAGCAATACTCAAGAATGGATTTGAATATGTCGAATGATTAAACTTTCATTCCTCAACAGAGCTCGATGAAGAACTTCCACTATAGAGGATCCTAGGGTTACAAAAAGATAACTTCTATAATAACACCGTAAAACCCTGATCTATCGGTTACGTAAAAGATGCATGCAAGCATCTATAAATACACAAACCCTAGAAAATAAAATACGGATGGACAGGCCGATACCACATAAAGGATGGGCTAGGAAGCGAGCCCAAGACGCAACATCAATAACCAAACAATCTCCCCCTTTGCGTCAATTGAGGCGAGACTTCACTCCAGCTTGCTTGCCCCCGCAACACTGGCTTTTGTTGACTGTCTTGAACAGGCAGGGGATGATGGAAAGAAGTGTTTGACGGAAGTGAATGTACCAGTTTATCATATCATTGAAGTAATTTTTATCACTATCCCTGTTCTGCTTGCAACGATTGATTATACCCAGAACATGCACTAGACAAGTAGTGGTGTAGAGATGTTTGTCAGCCAAAGCAAAGAGGCATTTCTGGCCTTCTGCTCTAGTGAACATGAATGAGTTCTATTTCGGGTCAATCTTTCCCATCTTCATTCGGTTTATATCGCTAGCAGAACCGACTGGAGTGATGATGGGCTTATTCCTCAGGATATTAGCAATCTCTTAATCAAGCTTAGCCACCTCCAAAATGTAGCAAACTAACATTCTCTTGAAATGGTCTATGACCGGATCATATTCAGCTTCATTGACAAGAAGAATGTTGTGCAGAACGATCCAATCGTGAGGGTTGAGGTTGGGAAGATCAGCCAGAGAGATAGAGTGCTCATATTTTTCAGATCCCCTCAAGACCTTGAATCTGGCATTAACAAAGTTACCTTCACGAACAGGCTTGAGTACCCGAACGTTGGTTATCTTCTGTGCGCTCCAAGTTTGGTACTGAGGTTGAGCCGTCCTCAGGTAATAGTCTATAAGCTCCCTATCCACCTTCGGGTGAGGATGGGGAACTTTAGCTATATGAGCGAACGCATGGAAGATGAAGGCCTAGTGAGATGATCGGTTCTAGCCATAGAGTGCAAGGGGACCGGTTCTAGTGAGATGACCGGTCAGGGGCATGTCGAACTGGGAATCGACTGAGTTGACACGGTCTAGTGAGATGATCGGTTCTAGCCATAGAGTGCAAGGGGACTCAATGGCTTCTTTGATGAGCACTTCGAGGGTCCAAGGAGAAAACAAAGTTTTCTTGCTTTCAAGGAGATCATGAGCCTCCTTCATCTTCCTCTCCTTGGCCTCGGCTTCCCTGACTATTCGAGCATTTTCATCCAGTTCTCTCTCTCTGGTCTGCTTCCTGACTAAGCTGACGATCGGCTCTTGATCATCACTTTCATCACTGTCGTCGGCAATTTGTTTGGCTTTGGCTTAAGCACTCAAACCTGATGAAGGACCAGATGTTGGTTTGGGTGCTTTTGGAGGGACAAGTGATGAAAGTGGAATTGATTGAGGTAGGGAACTTGGAGGGGGTTTCTGTTGAGCTGTGGACTTCTTT